CCGGCCTGCAGCGGGCACAGCCCCCCGGCGCGGGGAGCCGCCGGGCCGGCCAGGGGAGACCCCCCCATCCCAGGCTGCTCGCAGCACAACGGCGCCCTGGGTTTGTGATCAGGGGACCTCGTCCCTGCGCTGCGGGCACCTGCCCACGCCGGGGCCGACCCTGGCCCGGCCCCAGGGCACCTGCCAAGCGAGGGCGGGCTGGAGGCGGCGCGGGGGCCTCCGCGGGAGCGGAGGGGAGGGGAGGGCAGGGGAGTCAGCCCTGCCCGCGGCGGACACTCGCTGGCCGCCAAGCGCGTACAGCCAGGCCCCTGCCCGGCGCCCGGCCCCTGCGGCACCGCTGCCAAGGGCAATGGATGCGCGTGTAGCAGGAAATGTCTGCGGGGTCCCGCGGTCAGGGCCAGCACCCCGCGGTCCCAGGCGAGGCCAGACATGTTCGGGGAACGACAGCACATAGCCTCGGTGCCGGGCCCACCCCAGCACCCTCTGTGGCAGGAGTCATGTGCGTGAATACGGTCCTTCCTGTACCTGCGAACCAGCCCTGCCGACCCGCCCCCGCGCCAGGCAGCGCAGTAACCAGAGCAGGTGTCACAACGTGTGGCCGAGGCCCACCTCCCGCTGGGGTTTGTGCGTAGGAGCAGTCGGGACATTGCCCCACGCTCTGCCCCGGCTTCCCAGGGCTGGGCCATCACCTCCGCGGTACGAGCCAGAGGGACAGGCCCGGCCGGGGTCCCTGATCCCTGAGCATCGTGGAATTGCAGGGAGAGACCCGCTACGTGCCCTGCACCGCCTGGCTGCCTCTTCCCTCTTGCTATTTGCTAGTGCTTCCGTTTCACTCAGCCTTCACAAAGGGCTTTCTCTACCAGGTCCAGGGGCTTTTTACCATTGTGAGGGCAGTATGGGAAAGGAGCGTGGTTGACCCGAAACAGGCAGATGTAGCTGGATGCAGCAATTACTCCTGTGTTTTCATCTGAAAGAGCAGAGTCTGGAGCTTTTCACTACAATCGATCTATGGTGGATGCGTGTGTGTTGCAGCTTGGCAAAGCCAAATTATCTAGACACAATTGCGAAGCTACTCATTGGTCCTTCGCGTCTTCCAAATACGTACAGACGTTTGTCATGGCAGCAAGGATTGAAATTTGCCATTATTCTTCTTCCTTCCCTTCCTTCTTCCTGAAAAATGAACCGGATGTCTGAGACACTTTTTATATTGTGAAATCTCGATGACCAGTTATTCACAGGCATTCTTTGGCTGACAATATCAAGGCACTCTCAGACATTTTCTGAGGTCACTTGAAGAAAATAAATAGGGCCAAAATCCAGTATGTCCCCTTTGAAAGGATCCCAAAAAGTAAATTGTGAGCTCGTTTTGAACGTTCAAATGTCCTCAGATCTTGTGTTAGGACTTGTCGGAAAGGGCCTTGCGGAGTCCCTTTGCAAATATTTAAAAGACAAACAACCCTCCCAAACAAAACACCCCCTTCTCCTCCCTCACCACGGCCCTACAAAACGATACACTTAAATTCTGCACAAGTTCGACATGGAAAACTGAAAGCAAAACCACTTGCTCATCGGGTAGGAAGCACACTTGATACAAGCGTGCTTTGTTCCTGGATGCGAGACGTCTACGACACTGGCAGGATGAGACGTTTTCTGAGCAGGGCCACTGGCCCCCTCCTATGGGGTTTACTACGTTTGATGTTTAGACCAAATCCTTGACCAAAATAAAGGAAAAGGAGCTGACCCTTCATTTGGCAGAAACCGCGTGCAGAGAGATGCCCCTTACCAGAAAAAAAGGAGAAACCAAGCAAGGCAGGGCAATTCACGCAGTGTCCCTGCGGAAAGACCAAGGGCCCCCAAGGGAAAAAAATAGAAAAACACAAGGTGCTGAGGAAATATAGCTTGAGACACATGCACAGCCCTGCTGGGCAGAGAAAGGCTTTCATCTGAACACCGCCAAGCGCTTTCCGGAGGGGATCAGTCCCGTTATCTCCGTGTACACAGGGAGGGCTGGAGGCCAGGTGAGTGGCAGGGGAGAGCAGAAGCCTCCTGGCGTCCACACTAGCGCCCGCCCTGGGGCCAAGGCTGCCTCCAAAACGCTGTCAGTGAAGTGCGGCCAGCCAGATTAGCCGCTGCCCTGGAGACAGGCGCAATCTGAGCTCCAAACAGCTGCCCTGCTGAAGGGGCCAAGGGCTGGGGAGAGGGTGTGGATCTTGGCCTCGGGGGAGATTTGCAGCTGACCCCAGTGTTTCACCCCACGGTGGAGCGAGATGTCTCCCTGCGGGGGAGGAGGGAGCTGGCCTGGCTGCTACCGCGGTGGCGAAAGGAGCGAGCAAGCAAAGTGCCCCATGCCACGCTCTCCTCGGTTCCGGAGCCCCCTCGGGCCTTGGCTTGCCCGGGCGAACCGCCCAGGCTTGCCATGCCAGGGCCTCGGATG